ATACCACTATGATATAATATTTATAAGCGTTAAGCGGTAATTTAGTTAATGTCATTATTATATTGTATTATTAGTTTGATTGTTATTTAAGTTTTATTATATTGCATTATTTAAATATATTGTTAGTAATGATGAAAAATCTCATTTTATGTAACGTTCATTTTGGTATAATCACATTGTTATACGATAATTTATTAATCTCATTTTATCTTTACTTATTATTGAATAATGAGATGATGCATAAGTACCTCCTCTGACGGAAATTTCAACACATTTTTGGTATTTCCGTGCACCTTTTGTGCTAAGTAACCGGGTTTTGTCGGTACAACACATGCTGCCACGTGTGTAAATATTTTTTAAAAATATTCTTTTTTTTTATCTTGTATTTAAATTAAGTTAATACAAATAACCCTTAAAAATAACAATATTTTCTTTGTCTTTTCTTTTTATTTTTGATTTCAATTTTTTGTTTCACAACGTTTTGTATTTAAAACAAGTTAAGTTTGAATGAGCATCTAAATAAGTGAAAGATGACCAAATAAAACATAATTTTTTGTTGAGTATGTTTTTGATGATGATTAATAAAATATACTTGTCCAAAATGATGCATTCTATATATCAAGCTAACCATACTACACAATCAACTAATTTGTTGTAATACATTTCAGAACACTATATATCATATATCTTTGAACAAAGAATTCAACAGAACACTTCAAATTCTGTTGTAATACTTATATCTGATATTTTTGTTGGAACATTCAACTAACCAAAAGAAGTCTTTCGTCATCGTTCTCGAGTAAGGCCTGTCGTTCTTCAGATGAAGCATTGCCTGTTTCTTCAGTCTGTTGCAACCTGGCACGATCCCTGTCTCGTGGATACGTGCAATAGAGGAAGGAGTAGAAGAAGCAGCAAATCGCGATTGGAATGCCTATTGCAGTGTAAAGTGCCTTGGCAAGTGAGGCAGCATTCTGTCTATCTGTTTTGATTTCCTCTGAGCCTGTTGATCCCTCTGGAATTGGTTTAAAACCGAAAACGTGTTGAGCCAAAATGCCAACCAGTGGAGGAGCAAATGATGATATAATTGACTCGAAAGAACGATCCAGAGCATAAATGCTTGTTCGAGCTCTCTCTGGAACAATCTCTGCAAATATTGGACTGCATACGTACGAGTACTTTTAGTAAGATTTCACAAACAGATAAGTAAAATGTTCTAACAGATGATACAGTGGACACAAGGAGACATACTTGTTAGTTGCTGGAGCATTCCACGATACGCATAATCCCATGATAAACATGACCAAACCATGTATCAAAGTTGTTGAAGGATCATAAGGCAATAGCAGAAGCAGAATTGCAGCTAAAGGAACTGCGGAACCAGAGCTTATCTGAGCTAGAATAATTCTACCAGAATTAGGCAAGTGCTTGGCTAGGACATCACCCATTGTACCTCCGAATAACGCACCAAGTGATTGAGCAACATTAAACAAAGTCCACAAGAGGGCTGTTGATTTGTGAGAGAAGCCAATAAGCTCTAACCACATAGGGGCGAATGACAATGCCGACCAAGGGAATGACCCCGAAATCCCTTGAGCAATAAGTAATTGAAAGGAAGGCACTTTCATAACTTCTTTTGCTTCTTTAAGCAATTGTCTCACTTCTTCTTGAAATGGTAGTGGTGGAGGTTGATCTTTTGCATTGCCATCACTGTCAACAAAACGGGGATCGTTGGCTAAGAAACTGACCGAAATTCCAACAGCAACACTTATCATACCGACCAAATGGAATGAGATTCTCCAGCCTGGTATCCCCATGAACGATGTTTGGGCTAACAACACAGATATAAGCCCTCCAAGGGTGGAACCAAAATTTGTTGTTAGTTGTAACCATCCAAAAGCTGTACCGCGGTTACTATCATTAGTCGAGTCAGCAACTAGAGATTGGATTGCTGGAGTGACTATTGCAAGTCCTATTCCATTCAAACCTCTAGAAATAGCTATCTGTCAAACAACATGAGATTGCAAGAGTGTAACCATACAACTCGAATACGAGAAAGATAACACTTCTATCATCGTTCTTCAATTCAGAGCAGCAAACTACAAGGGCAACAAAATGATAATAGGTGGAGTCGTGGAGACTACTATCATATCATATATCATATAAAGCGAAAAGCAACAAGAAGTTTTTAGTTCAATCGAATCAAACTTCTACTTCCCAACCATACCAGTTCGCAAAAGATTAAAAAAAACTTAATTTTTGTTTTCGAATTTTCGAATTCCTCATTTTCAAAATCTCTTGTTGAATTCAACAGTCTTGTTGTCATTAGCCCCTACTAATAAACAAGATACACAATTGAAAACACGATGAATAATACAAACCAAAGTTTCTATCATCCAATTATTATGATGTTATCAAAATCACTCCAAGCATAGAATCTCTTACATCTCTCACATTGACCCCCTCCCCACAAACTCCCCAACAACACCAACCCACTCCAGTACCGCAAAATGGGATCCTGGAAGGATAGAATGTACACAGACCTTACCCCTACCTCGCCTTAAAAATAGACACATTGTTTCCGATACACCCTCTCAACTCAACGAAAACCAGTCCAAACCAATCCCCAAAAAGCAAGTAACAGATAATAACATAACATAACAGAAACTACAATAAAACAATCAACTTCCCATTTCTAAATAAAAAATATACCCAGTTTCTGTAACTCCCCAAATTCAACATGTTTCTAACTCCCATACACCCCAAACTGCATAAATCACATCTTCTTTGACACAAGAATCTTAGTAACTCAGTTGATTAATGATTAATTAATTACCAGAACTTTCACTTCATTGCTGAAATTTCAATTACCCACCCTGTAATCCCAGGTGTAGCTCAAACATATTAGTGGCCTAAAGCAAAAATCGAACCAGACATTGAACATTAACATAAATAATAACTTTTATATAATTAATTTCTTTCAGTTTTCATCTCATTCTTATTTTAAATGATTTTTTATAAGATATAATACCTTTTTTGTAACACTATCGAGTCACCCGTGTAATCCCTGCCCCATTTCCCCCTTCCCCTTCCTCTATCCCCATTTTTTTCAGAAAACCCCCAAAATTGATGAATCATAAGAAGGATTGAAGCAGAGACCTGAGTAAAATTAGCGGAGACGGCAACAAGGAAAGTAGCAGCAGACCATAGAAAAGCACCAAGAGCAATGACGTGAGCTCTGTTATGACGAGAAAGATACGCAGCTAATGGATAACAAAGACATTGAACTAACGATCGAAAAAGTGTAAGAGAACCAAGACCAGTTGGATCAGTATGCAAATCTTCACCAACTTCTTTATAAACACCAGGTAACAAAGTTTCATCAGCTTTCTCCATTATACCAGCTATATTCACCAATACAAGAGTCAACATATTTGATCGCAGATTCTTCAGCTCCACCATTTTTTCCGGTGATCGGAGTTCGGAAGAAAAAAAACTAAAATTGTTTTTGGCCGGTGGAAATTGTTGACTAATTTTATTTAGCAACGACGAAGGCGTTAAGTTTTAAAAACAAAAATCTTTGAAAAGGAACTCCACGTGGAGATATGGATATATATGGATACGAGGCGGAGCTAGGATAATCGTATTATTTTCATTTAATCTATAAAAAAAATATTATATTTTAAATTTTATTGGTAATATATTTTTACTCTATTTATGTATAAATTATTTCATTTTTTTCGAGTTAAATCTATGAGAAATAGTTTCTTTCGTTTTCATTTTCAATATAAGATTGAAATATGTGTATATTTTATACTCCGTATATATTATTATTATTATTATTATTATATTGTTGTTGGATATGTAGGACCTATACAGTTGGCATAGTGGATAAGATTAGTTTGTGAAGCTATGATAAGTTATAATTCTAAACTTTTAATTATTTAAAATGTTGCGTGTCATTAATGAAACACGTATTTTGAGGTAAAAGTATGATATAAAAAGTAATATTATAAATTATTAAAATTTCAGTAATTAGGATCTATGTATTGAAATTTATGTAAGATTCTCTTAAATTATATTATTATAATAAATTTTTACATGACTTGAATAGACATCTAAATATGCAAATAAGTATTTACTTAGATCAATTTTATAATTATTCAAAGATAAATTGTAAGTTTGCTTAGGAGTGTATTTGAAGTTACACAACATTAACAATAACAACCATATTAAATTTAATGTAATATTAAAATAAAGTTTAGAAATGATAAAATGTATGTAAGTTTATTCTTATCTTGTTAAAATAAAGAGATTATTGTTGACATCCTCAGCTCCAAGTGAAGTATATAAAAAGATCAAGTATGTAAAGGATACGAAGTCATGTTAAAAATAATAAAGAACAAAATATTATTCACTGTATTTCATATTAGTTAGTCACTTTTCATTTTGCACGATGCTTAAGAAATCATAAATAATAAGATAATCTTACTAATTTATCTGTTAAAAACTTATTCAAAATTTTTACAAATAAATGTGAACACTTCCAAAAAAATTAATTGCACGAGTAATATAGAAAAAGTTTAATCAAATCTTTTTTGATTTGATAAAGTGAACTTAATATAATGAACAACTAATATGGAATGAACCAAATAGATTGAATAAACAATGACAAAATAATATGATAACTGAAAAGCAAACAATTGAGTAATCAGTCCCCATTCTAATAAAACTAAATAATATTTTAATTCCTTCACCAATCGTTTTTTAAACCGAAAACCTAATAAATTTAATTTGCAATTGAATTATCGGTTAGGTTTGATTTTGAACAATCGCTAGTAAAACTATTCTTATTATTTATAATTTCTAAAAATGCGTGTAAATACGAAAATAGACGAGTAATATAGTACAGATGGAATAAGTGAAATTGAATTTAGAAATCATGACAACTTCAGTAGTTGTCTATGTATTAGGCCTTACTATAGATATTTATAGTTGTTTTATAGTTTCAATAACTTTTTCTCGAGATACATAATAGGTACATGTCCTAAATGTTAACATTGACTTCAAAAAAAAACTTAGGCAATGGTGATGATGAAGCTGAAGAACTACTTGAGATCAGATACATTGACACTTGTATTGATAAATGTTGCTGCTATAATGGAAATGGCTGATGAAACTCTGTTACCTGGAGTTTATAAAGAAGTTGGCAAGGATTTGAACATTGATCCTGCTGGTCTTGGTTCACTTAGTCTTTACAGATCATTAGTTCAATGTCTTTGTTACCCCATTGCTGCATTCCTTGCTGCTCGTCATAATCGTGCCAATGTCATTGCTCTCGGGGCTTTTCTTTGGTCCGGTGCTACGTTCCTTGTTGCCATATCCTCTACCTTTGCTGAGGTCTCTGTTTCATTACTCTGTAGATGGTAGTTTCTTTCTCTATATACTACTTTGCATTGTTTTTGCTTGAGCTGAGGGTCTATCAGGAACAACCCCTCTACCTCTGAGGTAGTGGTGATAAATGGATTTATATGTTTTTCTTAAGAGTTATCAATTGGATTATATAAACTTTAGTTTTGTGTTATTTGTCTTGTTCTTAATGACAAGAATGAAAGTGTTATCTTGTTTGATGTTGTTTAACACAGGTAGCGATTTCGAGAGGATTGAATGGAATAGGACTTGCAATTGTCACACCGGCAATCCTATCTCTAGTTGCTGATTCAACTCATGAGAGTAATCGAGGTACAGCTTTTGGATGGTTAGCATTAACAGGAAGTTTGGGTGCAATTATTGGCGGGACTATGTCTGTGCTGATTGCTGAAACATCATTTATGGGAATTACTGGCTGGAGAATCTCCTTTCATTTGGTTGGTATTATAAGTGTTCTTGTTGGTCTTTTAGTCTATTTCTTCGCGGAAGATCCCCGTTTTCTTGACAGAGATGTCAATGCAAAAGATCAGCCTCCCCCGAAACCATTTCAAGAACAACTGAGAGAACTGGTAAAAGAAGCAAAATCGGTTATCAAAGTACCTTCCTTCAAGATAATTGTTGCACAAGGGGTTTTCGGATCATTCCTTGGGACATCAATGTCATTTTCCACTATGTGGTTGGAGCTTGTTGGATTCTCCCACAAGACAACAGCACTCATCACTAGTTCGTTTGTAGTTTCTCTGTCATTTGGCGCGGTTTTTGGAGGATTCATGGGGGATGTCTGGGCCAAGCGCTTGCCTAATTCTGGTAGGATCATCGTCTCTCAGATAAGCACTGGTTCAGCTATTCCCTTAGCTGCAATTCTGCTGCTGCTATTGCCTAATGATCCTAAAACAGCTTTGCTGCATGGTTTAGTCCTGTTTATATTGGGATTTTGCGCATCATGGACCGGTCCAGCAGCAAACAGGTATAGTTACTCAGATCCAATATATCATTTGTTTGAAACACTTGACAGATTTTTCAAGTTCGTTTTCCCCGTTAATCTCCAATTATATCCAAACTCTTACCTTGTATAGACCAATGTAAGAGACTGCTTATCACTTCTTTCTCTTCATACCGCCTTGTTCACTCTTTCTTCTTGCATACGCACACACAGGCATATGTATGCACTTGAAATGTTTTAAGAAGCGCATGTTAGGTACATTCATATTAGAAATCATAGTATTGCTCCAATAGTTTCTTGTCCTTCAATTTCTGTTAGTATCTGTTGATTACTTATAACTAGATTATTGTATTGTTTCGTTTTAGTTTCTAATCTGTTACTATCTGTTGCTTTTGTTATTTTCTGTTGGTTTCTTGCACTTCCATTTTTCTATTTTAGATTAGTTTAGACTATTTTTTCTTGAATAGGGGGTCTATCGGAAAGAATCTCTGTGTCCCTAAGGTAGGGGCAAGGTCTGCCCTACGCTCTACCCTCTCCAGACCCTTTGTGGAACTACACTGTGTACGTTGTTGTTGTTGTTATGTTACGTACATTCAAATGATGCACAAATTAAAATGCCTTTTTATGTTTTTTGCACTGATCTAAGATGTTTTGCTCTTTTGACATATTTGTAGTCCAATATTTGCTGAGATAGTTCCTGAGAGAGCTCGAACGAGCATTTATGCTCTGGATCGATGTTTCGAGACCTTGTTAGCATCATTTTCTCCTCTTCTAGTTGGTACTTTAGCTCAACAAGTTTTCGACTATAAGCCAATTCCAGAGGGATCTTCAACCTCAGGGGAAATCGAAACAGATAGAAAAAATGCTGCATCACTTGCCAAAGCAATGTACACTGCAATAGGCATTCCAATGGTCATTTGTTGCTCCATCTACTCCTTCCTGTATTTCACATATCCACGAGACAGGGATCGTGTCCGGTTGCAACAGATTGATGAAACGGGGAATTTTCCATCCGAAGAACAACAGCTCTTACTCGAGCACAATGAGCACAGACTTCTTTCAGCAAATTAGTTGAAATCCATAGAATCTAACAAGGACAAACTCACTTCCTTGTTCTGTTGTTTGTAATTACTTTACTCTATGCAGACATGTGACCCTTCTATATACATTTATTTAGGGGTGTGTTTGAATTTACACAACATTAACAACATCATATTCAGTGTAATTCTACTGTTCGGTCTAGAAATGGTGGAATGTATGTAGTTTTATTCCTGTCTCGTAACGGTAGAGAGAGTATTTTTAATAGACTTTCGGCTCAAGTAAAGCATACAAAATGACCAAGTATGTAAAGCATAGACTTAATTTGAATTAGTAAAACTATCCTTGTTAATGATGATTTCTTAAGGAACGTATAAACAAGAAAGTAGACAACTGATATAGAACGGAGCAAGTATGCATTTGACTCAGTTGAAATATCCAAAATAAGAAAACGTGATACTTCAGTAGTTGTCTAATGTCTATATTTTGCCTTTACGTAAATCCTACTACAACACTTACATTTATATTATTCTTTTATAGTTCCAACAACTTATTCTTGAGTTCATATATAATATATATGCATGTCCTAAATGTTAATATAGACTTCTGAAGAACTACTTGAGATCAGATATATTGACGCTTGTATTGATAAATGTTGCTTCTATAATGGAAATGGCTGATGAAACTCTGTTACCTGGAGTTTACGAAGAAGTTGGCATGGATTTGCGCATTGATCCTGCTGGTCTTGGTTCACTTAGTTTTTACAGATCATTAGTTCAATGTCTTTGTTACCCTCTTGCTGCGTTCCTTGCTTCTCGTCATAATCATGCCAATGGCATTGCTCTTGGTGCTTTCCTTTGGTCCGGTGCCACTTTTCTTGTCGCCATCTCCTCTACCTTTGCTGAGGTCTCTGCTTCATTCCTCTGTAGATGGTGTTTTTCAAATATAGAAACAAGTCAAATTTTAGTTCATGAAAGTCGTGTTGTTTTTGTGGTTTACTTGGTTTTTTTGTGTAGATCCGTGTAGCGGCAGAGACAAGATTTTCACCAATATACAGTGTAATTTTCTGAGACAAAGGGGTTTGAATGCTCTACTCTTCGATCCACGAACATAAATTAATAGTAGTCATTGAGGAATGGTCTATAAGATATACTGATCTCTGAATATATGTAAGACATCTTAGTTCGGTCTCAACTGACAACTAAACACTCCAACTCATCCTCATTGTGTCTCGTGGGCACTCGATGTTGTGACACATAAGTTTTGGAGGTGTCTAGATTATCATTTTGTAAGTTGGAGTGTTCAACTAATACAGTAAAGATGAGTTGAGGTATTTTGATGTGCATACTCAAAAATGGAGTGTTTACTTGTCAGCTGTCGTCAAGTTTGAGTGTTTTGTTAGTGTGTTATGCCAAACTATGACAAGAATGAAAGTGTTATCTTGCTGATGTTGTTTAACAGATAGCAATTTTAAGAGCATCGAATGGAACAGGACTTGCAATTGTCACACCAGCAATCCTATCTCTAGTTGCTGATTCAACTGATGATACTAATCGCGGTACAGCTTTTGGATGGTTAGCACTAACAGGAGGTCTTGGTTCAATCCTTGGTACTCTAATGTCTGTGCTTATTGCGGAAACATCATTCATGGGAATCCCGGGCTGGAGAATCTCCTTTCATTTGGTTGGTATTATAAGTGTTCTTGTTGGTCTTTTAGTCTATTTCTTCGCGGAAGATCCCCCTTTTCTTGACAGAGATGTCAATGCAAAAGATCTACCTCCCGCGGAACCATTTCAAGAACAACTGAGAGAACTGTTAAAAGAAGCAAAATCGGTTATCAAAGTACCTTCCTTCAAGATAATTGTTGCACAAGGGGTTTTCGGATCATTCCTTGGGACATCACTGTCATTTACTACTATGTGGTTGGAGCTTGTTGGATTCTCTCACAAGACAACAGCACTCATCTCGAGTTTGTTTGTAGTTTCTCTGTCATGTGGCGCGGTTTTTGGAGGATTCGTAGGGGATGTATTGGCGAAGCACTTGCCTAATTCTGGTAGGATCATCGTCTCTCAGATAAGCACTGGTTCAGCTATTCCCTTAGCTGCAATTCTGCTTCTGCTATCGCCTATAGATCCTTCCACAGCTCTGTTGCATGGTTTAGTCTTGTTTATATTGGGATTTTGCGCATCATGGAGCGGTCCAGCAACAAACAGGTATGTCTACTCTATGTTGTTGTTCTGTTAGGTACAGTTACAAAGCTCGAAATGGTGAAATAAAGCAAATGAAAATGACATTGCATTGATCTAAGAGATGGTTTTTGATATTTTGCTCTGTTAACACGTTTGTAGTCCAATATTTCCTGAGAGAGCTCGTAAGAGCATTTATGCTCAGGATCGATCTCTCGAGACCATCATAGCTCAACAAGTTTTCGGTTATAAGCCAATCTCTGAGGGATCTTCAACCTCAAGGGAAATCGGAACAGATAGACAAAATGCTGCCTCACTTGCCAAAGCAATGTACACTGCAATAGGCATTCCAATGATCATTTGTTGCTCTATCTATTCCTTCCTGTATTTCACATATCCACGAGATAGAGATCGTGTCCTGTTGCAACAGATAGATGAAACGGGGAATTTTCCATCCGTAGAACAACAGCCCTTACTCGAACACGATGAGCTGAGACTTCTTTAAGCAAGTTAGTTAGAGTCCATTAGATTGTATCCATAGCTGTAAATATACATTTGCAGCTATTTGTGTCAATTTCCCATAGTTTATTTGACACAATAACATTGATACTGAAATATGAAAGCACAATACACGAAACTTAAAAGAATAACTCAAACAGAGATTTTGGTCAAAAATATGCTTCACCTATCCCAAATTTAAATTATATCCTTAAAGTATCATTGAAAACATCTTTTAATTATATCTCAAATTAAACTAGATCCTTAAAGTATCATTTTTAGCAGAAAACATCTTTTAACTATACCTCAAACTTAAACTACATCTTAAAGCATTATTTTTAGCGGAAAACATCTTTCAAGTATTTTAAAGTAAATAATTTTCATCCTTTTGTTAGGTATAGTCAAAAAATTAAAGGATCTTATGAAAATATGAGTAGTTAACGTGACTATCAACAAAAGTTATTCTGTAAAATTTCATTACTTTCTACAAGAAGTTCTTTAAAAATATTTAAAAAATCTTAGACACTCTTGCTTATGGAAACTAAAAATGATTGGAAGGTAATGGTGTACATGATTTGCCTTTTTCGTAACGTAAAGAAGTTGGAGATTAACTAATTTTACCTTTTTCTTAACCAATTAAATTAATAGATTTTTCGGTCAATCTAATATCAAAGTGACCAAAATATTAATTATGTCTTGTACTTGAGTTTCATTCTACATTATTAGAAGCAGAAGTCTTCAACAAATGTCACTTTTAGGATATTCAATTTAGAAGAAACGTATTTAAACTAATAATATTTTCAATTAAAATTACATAAAAATGAATGAAAAAACGGTCAAATTAAAAGATTGTGCATAATTCTTAATTCAATTACGAAAAAGTTCACGATAATATTCTTGGCATATCTAAGAATAATAATTATGAAGGAACGATTTAATTTTTGTGGGATATTTAGTTTTCTGATAAATTCAAGTAGAAAGATGAAAATTGTTTACTTTAAGAAATTTTAAGGATGTTTTCCGCTAAAAATGATACTTTAAAGATGTAGTTTAAGTTTGACATATAGTTAAAGGATGTTTTCTGCTAAAAAAATAATATTTTAAGGATATAATTTAAATTTGAAGTATAATTGAAAGATGTTTTTAGCCAAAAACTCTAACTTAAGATGTTACAACACTCTATCAGATCCCTCGTTTCGTATGAGAATATTTCTTCCTTGAGAAAATGACTTTTGCTTTGAATATTCTAGATTTGCAAAAGCTAGGTTGTTTTTTGTCAAACATATCTAATGATGTCCAATAATTAAATCAGTAAGATTTATATTTGGGTTTAGGTAGGAGTGGACGCTCAGTATTCGGTTCGGGTTTAATAAAATTTTGAGTTTGGTAATTCAATAATTAATAATTAAAAATAGATATCAGAAGTATCAAAATTTTAAATTTTGATTTGATAATTTGGGAAATGATAAATTAAACATTGATTTGGTACAATAATATCATATTGGAGTTATGAACGATTGTATCACAAAGTTAATATTATTTCTTTCTCCAATCATTTATATTTTTTATGCGAAAACACGATATAATAAATTAATAAGTAAGTCAGGATAAAAAAAAAACAATACAATTAGAAGATATACGTATTTTGGATTGTTCAGTTTCCTCGTATTGATTTTGTAAAACTTCATTTTTCAATAAATAATTGGAAAAATTATAACGCCAAGAATACGGTAAGCAATAATTATACATTATTTTTCATTTTTTTAATTATTCATATTATTATTATTAAAAGAATGGAAACTTGTATGTAATAGCAAATTAATAATCTAAAATAAATGGAGTAGCTAGGGTTTGATTTAATTGTGCTCCATAGCAAACGTTAGCCAAAATTTGTCAGGCGCCTCTCTCCCAAAAGTATCACTCGCCACTCTCTCATTCTCGCCTCTCTCACTTAATACACAGAAGTGTATAATTTCTATTTCCGTTTTGTATAAAACGAGAAAAAATTGTATATACACATGTAAAAACATATATCTTCGTGTTATACACTTAATTATACAATTTACAAACATTTTACTTCAATTCAATTGTAGACAAATGCAAATTTTATACAAATATTGCAGAGAAAAAGGTCAACGAATTATACAATTGTCAATTATACAATTGCAGTGAAATACAATTTTCTCTAGCTTTATACAACAGAAGTGTATATATTGTTTTTCTGTTTTTGTATAAAGCGAGAAAAACATATATCTTCTTGGTATACACTTATAATTATGCAATATACATACATTTTAATTCGATTCAACTGTATGCAAAACAAATTATACAATTGCAGCGAAATAGGCCAGCGAATTATATAATTGTATATGTATAGCGAATTATACAGTTTTATGTTTGCTATGGAGCGCAATTATGTAACTTTGCTATAAAATACAAATATGAATTCTTTTATTTGCTATATGTGAAAGTTGCTCTTGAAAGAATCAATATTGGGTTTACGAAGAATCTTATCCATAACCCCCCTTCCCCCCAAACCTCTTCCTAAAAAGAGGGGAAAACAGGACAAAAATAAAATATAGGGGTCAATAAAAAAACTTATACATGCCTAATGTTTACATCGAATGAAAATTAACTTATATGAATATTTATTATTTATATTGAATTGTATTAAACTATCATAATTCAAAAAGTTAATGGATAAAAATATATTTAAATTGTGTCAATTTGTTGAATTTGAACAAAACCTATTGATAATGTGAACTTTTTACATGAATTATGATACAATAGTTATTGAAACATATGTCGTCTAATTTTTAATAATGTGTGTACACTTGCTCTTTTGCTTAAAAAAACTGCCATGTGACACTCCACGTGGGTAAAGATAATAATTTTAACTATGACAAATCTAAATAATTAATATTATTTAGATATTAAAATTAAAGATTAAAACTATTATTGAATAAATTAATTTATTTCAACTCTACACATCCTATCATCTTTTTCTCCACCCTTTTAGCCGTGTTCCGGTCTCTATTATGGTATCTATATCTCTTATTTGAAAGAGAAAATTTTGGAACTTTTAAAAAAGTCAATTAAAAATATATTTTAAAATATTAATATGTGATCGGCTAATAGAACAGTTATATATGCTAAGTAGATGAAGATTTTATAATAAATTAACATGCCTAAAAGTATTTCTAGACAAACATTTGATCTAATTAATATCTATATGTGTTTCACTAACCATTACTTAAGTAAAAAAATTGCAGATATAATACTCAATAAAATGATTTAGGTATGTTTCATTACTCTATAGATCTTGATAATTTATATCTTATGTCTAATTGCTCACGCTATTCTACTTCTATTTTATATTTATTTTTTTCAATTGGGATCTTGCTTACATATTTTCATAAATTTTTATCTTCACGTAAACGCTAATTCTTCTAATTTGCTTCCTAATAAAGCAAAAACAACGAAGAAGTATTATTATTCTTTCCATTTCACGTGAGGAAATTAATATTTTTAAAAAATAAATCTTTTATTATAATTTTCTTAATTTCTTTTAAATCATTAATTTTATTGATTTGTAATTTTTTTTTATAAAAAATTTAAATATATAATTTTTTTTTCCAAATATTTATAATTAAAACCTAAATATCTCGAATTTTGACTTAGGAAGTAAAAGAAAATAACTCATAAATATTTAAAACCTAAATATCTCGAATTTTGACTTAGGAAGTAAAAGAAAATAACCCACCAATATGAGCTGGTGCGTAATAGTAAGACTGATCCACCCTTAATCAAAAGTCTCAAATTTTAACTCCTGCAATATACAATTCAAATTTTATCGAGACTTTAATACATACTCTGAACATACGACCCCAAATAATACGAATAAAATAAAAAATATTTGAAAACTATCCAAAATTTTCTAGGTTGGTGTATCCTCATCATCTAATATTCAACGCTTTTTTGGGAACTTAATTTGGTCCCACATAATACATTTTTCAAGTTTTGAGCATTCAGCGTGTCTCCCGTTATACATGTCGTAATTTTATCGTATGTAATTACACGCAATCATCTTGAAAATAAGTGATTTCGAATGATCATGAATTTTTAAAGTCAAAGATTTAATTGTCTTGTCACGTTCTAGATTTAATATTTTTTAAAAGATTGGGATAATGCACAAGTATCCCTTCAATCTATGTCCAAAATCTCAGAGACACACTTGTACTATACTATCCCTGAACTTAATTTATTAATGATTTTCTATCCCTTTTCGGCCTACGTGGCACTATCTTGTGGGCCCAATGCTGATTGACTTTTTTTCAAGCTAGTGTCACGTAGGTCGAAAAGGGGTAGAAAATTACTTATAAAATAAGTTCAGTGGTAATAGGACCTTAATATAGTATAAGTGTGTCTCTGTAATTTGAGGCATAGATTGAGGGGTTACATTTTTCCTAAGAAATCAGATAAGTTCGTTATTGTACTCTTGTTTAATATTCTCTTAAAATTAAGTTTTCAATCAATAAATGAATTAACTTATTTTAATTAATTAAGTCGGTCAATAATATGAGTTAATTATTTAGTTTTTCTTTATTGATCAAATACATATTTTCAAGACTAATAACTCTCAGTAGTAAAACATAAAAAGAATAATATCATTTGTTCATTAAATTTTGTAAAGTTACAATATTAAGGAACATATATTTTAAATAAAAACGACGTATAAATAGGACGGAGAAAGTACTCACATATGCCGGGGGGATAAGTAGATTAAAATAAATATATTGAATTTTTACTTCATTTGTGTGTAATAATTGAGATGACTTCAGTCTTCCATAACAATTACTACTTTAAAAAGAACAAAATAAATTAATAAATAATTTTGCATTGACTTCTGAAATAACAAATTTTCTTAGCAAGGACAACAACTATTTTGAAACTAAAGAAGTACCTTTTTTTTTTGAATAATGTATAAATACCCTTCAATTTATATCTCATATTTTAGAGACACATTTATAATATACTAAGGTTCTATTATTTTTGAAATTATTTTATTAATAATTTTTTATTTTTTTCGGCCTACGTAACACTATCTTA